TAGATTCTCAAACATGATCATGCATATGGATATGCAGAGGTCAAAAATCTTAAAAGAAAAAAGGTGAGATGAGAAAGTCAAGATTTTAATTTTAGTTTTTCATATCCATAATTTTGATGTTTGGTTTTATAAACTACAAGAAATTTACTTGATATGTTTTATCAGTGATACTACTTCACTGCCAAAGCCTATAGGTTGATACATAATGGAGCAATGCTGTGATGGTCAGTTTTGTTTCTAAAAGTGTCAGGCACTTCAAGAAAAACAGAAACATTCATGATAATAAGTGCCAAGGATAGGAAGACTTTTTTTTAAAAGATTCTTTAAAATCGCATTCAATTATATATTTATTGTGCATAAGGAAAACTATACCTAATAAAACACTTAGAACATAAGCTTATTCACTGTCCAGAAAACCTCATATCTATAGTCACAGGAGTTCCCTTATTTGGAAAGATAAGTATATACAGTTGGCGTCAGGACAACCATTTTTCCAAATCACAAATAGATAGGACCAGATTCATCATGAGGTCATAAAGAAAGCAGTGCATTAGAAGTGCATCCCTCAATAGAGTTAGGAGAAACACATTCTCAGGATTTCAAGAGTCCAGAGGGAGGAAGATGAAGCAACAATGCTAAGAAATGAATGATGATACAGATGTTCAGAAAAACCTGAAAAGTGAGAGTGTTCAGGGGAAGCAGTATTAAATAATGAAAAGAAATACACTTTATATGAATAAATCAAATACTCTGTAATGAGTATCTCTTAACTCCTTTTGTGGCAGCTTTGGATAATCCCATAAATGGGGATAATCATTAAAATTCTAAATATACTGTTTTATAGTAAGTAGTTTTCACTTTTTACATTACAATAAATAGCAACCAGTATAGGAATTCCTTATCCAGAGTAAATACCATTCTCCTTCTAAATCCAACTTCAGGGAAAATATATTATGCCTGAGTCATATAAATATGCTGCTATTTTTATGAGAAAAAAAGTCACTTTAAAATAATTATGGCTACTACATAATCATCACCATTATTTGGGATAATTTCCATTGTCTAAAAAAGGCAAGCAATTTGAAATAATATTCAGTTTATGGCAAACATATTCTCTAATAAACACTGAACAAATAATACAAATTTCAGTAAAATCTAATTTGTTTACCATATAATGCTTACATTTTTGTACCTATATTTTAACTACTTTTGCCTCTGTAGTTTCTATTTGGAAGCAGCATGGTAGTGAATACCCCAGGGAAGGGTTCTTTTCTGCTTTTAGGTAAACCTGAGTTTAAATTTTGGTTTGGTCACATACTACTTTTTAACTTTGGGGACTTTTCTGGGATTTTTTTTTTATGTCTGTTTTTATTTCTACTCATTAATTATATCAAGTTAATTACTTCTACCATGGCTTTGGTTTGAATATTAAAAGGCATTATACAAGCAAAATATACGATACATAAATATTAGTTTCCTTCTCACTTTGTATTCTTTCTCCCTAATTAGAGTCTTACATTTATTATTTTATTTTAATTTTATTAAACTGAAATATTCTACACAATAAGATTTAAAAAAAGATTTTTGATGAAAAAAGTTTTAACTAATTAATCAAGGTTATAGCATCTATATAAAAAATATTTATATGGTGTCTTTTCCTTTTTTAAATACCCTTGTCGTTTTATAGGCAGAAAATGATGTGTATAAAATTCCAGGATTTTGAAATGCACGTTTAGACCTATCAAACCTAAGTGTTTCACTTATTTTCTGGTGTCCAGGTGAAGCCTGTGGGCCCATGAACTAATTTAGTTGGAATTTGGTACCAAACAAGTGAAATCAATGAGTCATATGAATTAATACGGAGAAAAAAATCATGTCTTCCCATGTGAAATATACTATAACCCAAGTTGACCTAAAAAGGATTAGGAAAGAGGATGTGGACAGGTCAGGACAAGTCCATACCCTATGATCTGTCAGAAAATGTGAAGAAATATTTAAGGGTAAATACTGAAATATAAGGGATGCTAAGTTAACACAAATGGCAAAATAGACAGTGATCATAAATTATTTTGGTACACTGGTTTATGACAATCCTCCTATAAATTCCATGGTGGGCAACAGAGTCTAGTAGGAACTTTAGCAGTAATTGACTTTGCTTCATATCTTGAACATCTAAAATCTATTGTTACTTAGGCAAAGAAATATGTTCAGCACTAATTTTTCAGACACAGAGGCTAAATATATTTACTCCTCCACTTATGTGACTATGCAATAAATGAAAGTTCTGGGCCAATATTCTTTGCTCAATCTTTGATTCTGCAATTATTCTTCCAATGATTGGAAGTGAAGTAATAAAAGTGAACAAGTAGAATGACTTATAATATACTGAAAGAGTTCTTAATCTAGTATGTATTTATATCATGTTTCATGTGTGTTCTGGACTAATTTTGCGAGCTAATATGCATGTATTTTTATGACTTCATGCTGTGCACTCTCAGGCATGACTATATATATGACATCATACTTTGAATCAGCAAATTTTCTTCCTTTTTTTCCCTAAAAAATAATATAATCAATGTTAAAAATGAAGAGATAATGTAAGGCAACCAAAGAGCAGCAAAGCAAGTGTAAATTGGTTTGACTTGACTCTTCAGTTGGCAAATAAACCTCTTCCCATGGAGAAGGCAATGGAATGCACCCCACAGAAAGTCTCTACTAGCTGGTGATAAGGATGTGGTTCTAAGAACCAAAACTCCAAGATCATTACTTTGTTAATTATTCCTTCCTGGATCTGATACCTGTATTAGTTTAGATATGTATTTTCAGAGAATGCAAGGTATTTTTATGGAAGTGTTTATAACTGGAGAAATACTACACAGCAACCATGTTGCATTTCATATGATGAGTTAGAATTGAATACAAAAGCACTAATAATATAAAACTAGTTAATTTGAGAATCAAGATTGAGTGAAACTAAATGAAAAACAGCCATATAATGTCACAATTTTCTTCATTTATTTATCTATGATCTTGGCACATCTTGTTTTATTCAATATTTGAAAAATATAAACATCCTATCATATGCAAAAAAGCAAATGTGAAATGAAAAAAAGATTTTATATCACTCCATAAATATGAGCCAAATGCTTAAAGAGTGCAAAAATTTTAAAGATCAAATCTTTAATGTGAACTCTTACAAAAGTATGGTGTCCAGGTACAGTCTCATTAGAAATAAGAATAGTACCTGCCTCTACTGCAATAAAAAAAAAGAAAAGAAAAAGAAAAACAAAGTTTTTTGGACATATGAAGGGTGATATTACTTCAATAATAATATCATAAATGCTTTCTATTAATCAGAATATTAATCTTTAGATTTGTAGGTGTAAATATTTATCATTTTAGCTATGATATTTGTAGTTTTGAAAGCACAGAACTTTCAAATGTGCCTGTATCAAAGAGAAATTTAGACTCTCAGATGTTTTCACACAGGAAAATGACAAACTGCTGAGTTAACCTGGGCTGCAATCTGTCAAGGTTCTTGCAATCATGTTATTAACCATACTCACAATTCCAAGCCACACAGTCTATACTTCTAGGGCTTTTTTTAAAAAATAGTTTCCTGCTTATAGTCACAGGCAGCATAGTGTAATAAGTAAGAGGGCAAAATTTTCAAGAGCTACCATTCCTATAGCCATTTTCAGTGGCTGAGGAAAAGACCTGTTTGTGCTTTGATCTTGCTTTTATTTTTTTGTTTGTTTGTTTTGGAAAGAAGGAAATTTAGAAGAGAGTTTAGAAGGCTCAATAAAATGATCTCACAATCTTAGTTAGCTATACTACATGGATTGTGCATAACAGGAACCTTAGATCACTTCTAAGGATTGGAAAAAAATTAGGATTTGGTCTGTTTATGAACTTATCAGCTAGGATTCAGATTCATTCTTCTTTGATATTTCAGTATGACGGTGAAACTAAATTGAGGCCTAGTTAAAAGAAATCCCTGGTTCTTAATTTGTGGATTAAAAACTAAAATCCTTTTAAAATTAATGGATATAGCTCATTGCTAGTTGTCATTCAGATCTTTAGTTTGACTTACATATTAGGTAAAAATTCTGAAAATTATTTGAGGGCTCTATTCTCCAGCACCAGGCACTAGTGACATCCCTTCAAAGAAATCCTGGGTGTGGATTAATCAAGTCTAAAAATGTGCAAAAGTAATGGTATAAAATGGAGTCTTTCTTTTTTCTCAGACTTATTTTATACACAGAAGTGCTTTTTTAAATAGCAGCCACTTACATTTCTGAATTAAGACCACCCTCATTTTCATCTATGTGCCTATCTTTAAAATCCACATTGTAAAACAGTATGCAAATATACATTCTTTGTGTTTCTATGGACTTTTTTTTACTTTAAAAAAATGAATAAGTGACTACGATAATATCCTTTTCAAATTTATTTATTTTCTTTTGTTCTCTATATACTCTGTGTTCATGTGGGTATGTACATGAGTGTATATGTTTATGAACTTGTGTGTATTTGTGTGTGTCTCTCTGTGTGTGAGTATGTATGAGGAGAAAAAATAATTTTTTCCTCTATTTTAAACTTTAATATAAAATAAAAAATGAAATGTGAAGAGAAGAGGGCTTTTTTATGGGATTCTCTTTTTAAGTCATTATTTCAGGGTTTGAGATTTAGATCTCATTCTATAATGGACACTAGAAGTCCCTGCCTGGAAGACTTTAAAATTTGTATTTCAACCACCACATTCTGAGTTGAGCATGGAAATAAACTCGTTGCATGGATTCTTTGTATGCACAACCTCAAAATTTAACTATCCAAACAAATTTTTAGGAACTAGTTTACAATTTGCCATCGAGTAAAATCTCATTTCCATTCTTATCTGTGGCTGCTTGTTTCAACTAAAAACCTTTTCAATATTTTGCAAAACAGAAGCAAACTTATAAGTAAATTCATGAATACTGAAATCAGAGGTGTGATTCTTGTTAAATATTAGTTTCTCTTTCTGAGGGCGCACTCTCTCCTTTTGGCATTTTGACAGTAACTTCATCCTGTTTAGCATTGCTCAAGGGTTCCGATTCTCTGAACTCCTCTGTGTTCATTTGCTTCTTCATTGCCTCGTCCTTCTTCCTTTCCTTTGCAAGCAATCTATAGTTTATAGCATTACCAATGAGCAGCCATATACTTGAGGCTACCACAATAGCCCCACTGGCTAAGTACATGTATTTATAATCTCCAGTTATATCCACCAATTTACCTAAGAGACAAAGAACATCTTTTAGGATGACATATAAAACAGTTATTAAATGATAAAAAATTTCAAAGAAACTCTTCTCTAGACAAATTACACACCTCTTATTTAAATTAATGTAAAACAAGACTTTAACAAAGAAAAAGCATTCTAGGTTATGATGTCTATATAAGCTTAATAAAAGCATGTACATAAATTTAGATCATTATAATAGTAGTGCATTAAATTTATTAAAAATTATTCCTTCCAATAAAAATATACAACTAAGACAAATTAGGTATATATGTGTTTGTGTACTGATAACTACCAGAAAATATATATATATATATTTTAACTCATTCCTGTAAGTAAGGATATATTTATCTATTTACTTATAGCATGCCCATCAAGATTGTGTCATTTTCCCATACTTCATTTTCTCTTCAATAAAGAGGAAAAAATGCAGTCTTTAGGACAGACACAAAGATTTTCATACTATTTTTGACAGGGCTTACAACTTACTAAATGGCTCCCTATCTCCATCTCTAGGCTAAGAACTTGATCTATCATATCTCATTTGATCCTTATTATGAAGTAATCTGGTTACATGGCTAGTATGCGGCAGAATTTGGACTCTGAGGTCCGTTGAATTTCATATTCATAACAACTCTACAATATGGTTTCACGTAAACTCTTATTCAAGTGTTATATCACTTTTTAGTCTAATTACAGTTTTTTTGCTTGTTTGTTTGTTTTTACTTTATCCAAGTCTGCAGTATCAATGCCAAACTAATCAGGAAGAAACCATTAGTTCAATTTGATTATTGAGATCCTTGAAGAACTAGGCTGGTACCACATAAGCTGAAGACTTATTGACTTATAAATCCTTCAGCTTGTAATTAGTTTTCCTCTTGTTCATGAAGGCATTTAATTCTTAATAATTATTAACAGCAAATTCAGTGTGTACAAAGCTATATTACTTATCACATGCATTCCAAGTGATTCCAATATAGACCCTTGAAGTCAGCCTATTTAGCAAGAGTTTCTAGCATTCTACCTAAAAAGTAGTCAAAGGTTCAATTTTAAATTTAGGTACTTATAATCTTTATCTATTTGAATAAAATTCTCTGGTTTAAACAGGTAGATGTTAGAATGAGCTCATTTGAGTAGGCCCAAAATATATGTATATATAACAAAAATGTTATATATGTATATATAACTTTTGTTTTCCTAATTTTAGTCAAATATTTCTGTCTGTGTGATAGTCAATATAAATATGAAAACATAAGACCCATGGCCTCATTAGTTAATAATTGTACTTTCTAAGTGTTTTGGGAAATTTTCAGCATCAGGAAACCAGATATGATTTCCAGAGCTAAAGCTTCAGTTTTTTATGAGTATAAAACTTAAAGATCAGTCTGAAAAAAAAATCAATAGAAATAAAACCCACACACTCCCTACCTCTCATTGGTCTACTACCAGGGCTAATAGCAGCAGCAGCAGCAGCAGCAGCAGCAGCAAGAATGTCAGAAAAAAATCACCAAATATTCAAAAGTATTTACTATGTGCTTACTATGTGCCAGACATTTTCAGTAGTAATCAAATACTAAAAAGGATACTCCGGCCTGAGAGTCAAGGAGTATCACAAGGCAGAAATAGTATTAAAAAATGGATATCTATGCTACAGTCTGAGAGCTTCAACAATGAGTTCCAGATCTATTACGTCAAATCTGCGTCAAATGACATGATGATTTGCCAATATTAATGCAACAGGCACTCAGAGTAACTGAAACTGCCTTAAAAATATATTGATGCAGGTTCTTAGTATGTGTAGAAGTGGCAAAATCATATCACTTTTTAAAAAATTCTTAGAGCCAATCTACTATGTCTTTGATTAGACTTAATTTTTTTCATATCACCACGCATGGTAATGTATAATTTTTCTCTTTTGATAGTTAGAATTTGATGCTAATGCATAAATTCTAAAATTCATTTGGTCAAATCAATTTCATATGAAAATATAGTCCAATTGTGCTTTATTTTGTAAGAAAATCAGATGGCTGATAAATAACAAGACCTAATGGCTTTCACCCTTTTTCAACAATTGTTTGGATATTGTGTTATATCCATACTGAGAAACATATTACCTAAAATCTGCCCTAAATACTAGAGGATAGGAAAAACCAACAATTACACCACTAAGATATTACAGCCAGCTCTATTGCTCTCCTAACCAAGTGAAAAAGTGAAAGACAAAAGTCAATGAGGGCATTAAGAGTAACATTTTCGACATGAATGTCTCCACTTTTAAACGGTTCTTTGATGACGCACAGAAAGCCGTTTAACAACAGACTAAATACATGGGGAAATTTGCATTTAACCTGACTGTGCACTAGGGGGCAGGCCAAGAATCTAAGCTTAACAGTGACCAAAATAACATACAGTAGTTGCTGGAAAAGTCTGTCCTACAAAAAATAATTTAATATTAACAACATTTAAAATCTAAGACTAGACAAGTCTTCATGTCAGAATGGAATTAGGCATGTGTCTTTATCATGGGTTCAGAAGCATGATTCAATCTAAATATAATTTCCTTTCAAAAGTACTCTTAACTGTATTTCAAAAGGAAGCCATAAAATACTGACAAGCAAGTCCAACAAAAATCTAATACTTCTGTGATGACTATTTTACCTTTCTTTGTTTCTTTTTTTTTTTTAATAGTAGACCAACTTCTCAATTTTGTTGGTGGTACACTAAACTTGTATTACTTTCTTTATTGAGTTAATTTAGCATAGACACTTTTATAGACATCTTTAAAAATATTTCAAATCTTAAAATATAAAGGTAATCCTTATCAATTGTAAATACGCAACATAAACTATCTAGTAGAAAGAACAACTTTCAATGGATTTGTCTTTATCCCTGTATTATATGTTAGTGATATAAAGGTATGGCTTCCGTGGCAGTTAGTTACAAATAAATATAACTAACATACTAAAAAACAAATTCTGAAATTTTCAGAACACGATTTTACATTTTGTACCCATTTTTATATAAGCAGAACAGAAATCTGTTCAGTAATGTTAAAGTCACATTTTTTTTTTATATTCCTAAAAGCACAAAATAACAACTAATTGGGATAGAAGTCCTGAAAATTATGCAACTAATTACCAATCTAACTTAAGTTCTCAAATTCATAAGTCCAGGTTCTGAAACAGAGTTAGGTATAAAATCAACTAATTATGAAATTTTAAAATGTGTAATAAAATATAAAAATCAATCCCCCTACAGTCTTTTTCGGCCATTAATATTATTGAAAGCACATGATTTACTGTAAAGAACTTCTTAGCTAATGAATATTTGCATAATTCATTTGGCTTTTATTGATGAGAAATATTCTTACCAGCAATAGGAGGGCCAAGAAGAACGGGGCCACACTCTACCACAGTGACGAGTCCCACTGCACTGGAAAACCTTGAAGCTCCAACAAGGTCCATGAGAGTTTCAAAGAGGACACTGCTAACACTCCCAAATCCATAGCCAAAAAATACAGCATATATCACCAGGCTCGTGTAGCTCTGTGCCAGGGGGCACAAGAGATGACAGATTCCAGTAAACATGACCGCAAAACTGAAGAAGTACTGGATTCGGGGACGGATAAGTTTGGAGTTTGCAATTAATCCTCCACAAGGCCTGGCAAACATATCAACAAAAGCCATAACAGACAACAAGAAAGCTGCGGAATACTCATCTATTCCCCTGTCTTTAGCATACGGAGCCAGGAAGATAATAGGGGCAAAAAAACCCAGAAACATGATGACGTTTCCAGATAGATAGATCAGAAATCCTCTATGCTTAAAAAGGGAGAAATCTAAATATTTGTTAATTTTGTTCCATGTCGATTTCTTCTGTTGGATTTTCTTCAATTCTGTATCTTCTGCTCTTATGCTAATCTTATTTTTCGATTGAGTAGTTTGTTTGGGGCCAAGGGGTCTCATGAGGGCCCCAGCCACGCAGGCATTCAAAAATATACCTCCTAAAATCAAGAAGCTTCCTTTCCAGCCATAACTATTAAAAAGGAACTGATTGAAAGGGGCCAATGTACTTAAGAAAACAGGACTCCCTGCCATGGCCAATCCATTCGCTATGGGTCGTTTCTTATAGAAGTACTTGCCAATTATTGTTAAGGCTGGTTGCAGGTTGAAGGCTAAACCTAAACCTAAAAAGAACAAGACAAAAGAGGAAAAAAGAAAACACAAACATATTACACCACTCACATAAGAAATTATTTTTGGAAGGCACATTCAAGTGGGGAAAAGTGAACGAAAAATGCAGCAGCAGGTAGTAATTTTTGAGGATTATAAGCATAAATGTAATTGTACACATCTAAAAATGTTGTCATAACTGGATACTTCAAATGATGTTTTAAAGCACAGATATAAAACCAAGAACTTCCACCTATGTATGAAAAATCACAGGATCGGTGGAAAGGAGGACAGAATTTAGATCATATTAAAAGTCACTTAATTCCACAGATAAATTAACATTTTCCTCTTAATATACATTTATTTGCAAATACATAGATTTCTTCTGTGTGGACAAGAGTGAAATTTAAAAATGGAAAGACTTTGTCTTTTCAGAGTTGAAGAAATGTGGACAGGCTAAAATGCTCATAATTTGTAAAAAATTTTGTAATACCCCAGAGGCATTTCTTTGAATACTATGCAAATAATAAAAAAGAGTAATACATTTAAGTGATTAATCTCATTCTTTACATCCCTCAGATTCCAAATTTAATGTATGTAGATACGCAAGTGCTAAATAAAAAAAGAAGTTTTTGTTTTGTTTTGCTTTACTTGAAATATGTTTTTATTTCAAGGATATAAGCTGATTGTTTCTATGAGCCCATGTTCCCATAGTCTAGGGAACTCCTTGGCAGTGTATTATTGCCTTTGAGAAATGAATTAGCTTTTGTGTCCCACTGAAGCAATATTTAGCACTATTGATGAATAAAGTACTTTTGAAAGTGCATAAAATTGATTCATGTGAAGTACCTCTCCCCTGCACCCCCACACCCTAGGCATTATTCGGTTATTTTAGGGGCTAGAGAGGTGAGCATTTTTCTGTTTACAGTTTACCTAAATTGAAACAGTATTGTAAAGTGGTTAAGTATGTAAGTTCTGGGACTTACAGGTTTAAGTACAAATACTTACTCCAACTCTTTCAAACAGACATTTTATATGAATAGAAGCATCTCTAAAAGCTCAGGAAAGAACCAAGAACATGCCTTGGGGAATAACAGAGCAGCATGATCTCTAACTCTACCTGTGAGATATGCAGAGTACGTGTAATTATATCCCACTCATAAATAATAAAACTGACCTGCCTATGATCAAATAGCTTGTAAGTGGAAGAACCTAAGCTAAAATCCACGTATTGTGTTTCAGAGTTTCTTTATCTTACGTCATTTCCCTCCCATTCTGTCGCCTGGAACTTTTGTCTTTAGCTCTTATCCCAGGCTGACAATTTCTGGCATGGTACAGTGAACACAAGACTTTAAATCAATTGATCTGAATCTGGCTCCGTAACTTACCTGTTTGCCACTGCTGAAGGAAACAGACTTCCTGAGAGTGCACACACTCAGCAACAACAACAACAAAAAGTCTTTTGCCAAAGTCAAGTTCTAGAAAGAACTTTCATGACATTGCACACATGGTAGTGTAATTGGTATTATTTTCTAATATTTATTTATAAATAACAACATGCTGAGTACTCTGCAAAGTACAATGTATTCGCTTTGCACATTAATTGTTCAACAAATCCCTGGGAAAATAACTATTAGCCCTATTTTATAGACCGAGACATACAGAGGCTAATTTATCTCTGATCACACATCATGTATGTGCTGAGTCAAATTTAAAAGTTAGTGCTGTATGCTTTCTGTAAATCAAAGTCAGAAACCAAGCTGGCTGATAATGCAAGGTAAAACCCTCATAGATGTATATAGCATCAACTCTAGAAGTACTAAGGCCTTCAAGGCCCAAAGGAATGAGATTACACATTAGAATAATAATAGTGTAATAGGTATTTCTGATACAGGATGATGTAATCATCCTATCTTTAAGTATGCCCACTTGAAGGCCCATCCTAACATTTCATGATCAAATTCAATATAGTGAATAGTCTGCACAAAGCAAAGGGCGCTCTCTTCATCGTGACAATGCTTAGATGTAAGAAAGTTGCCATTTAAAATATCAAAATGTGTTTTGCCATATCACAAAGGCATGGAAAAGTGGACAGGCTGCAAAGAGAAGAGTTTTAACATTAGTATTACTATGGCCTATAATATACTTTTTTTTTTTTCATGAAATGATACATGACTGCAGGTTAGACTGATCTCAGATCATTATAAAACAAAAATGTTTACTTATTATCTCTAGGCATAAGGGAAGACCCAGCCTCTTGAATATATTGAAGATAATTTTTGTTAAAACTTTGTAGATTTTTAAATATAATTTATTGTTCAGGCATATAAAAGTGGTGCTTTTAAATGTTCAATTTCTATTTAGAGTCAATAGCTATTCTGCATGTGGCACCATGATAACCAAGTGACAGTGTGCCATTAAGCATGTTTGTGTTGTGGCAAACTGCCTTACTGAACTTCTAAACAGGTTCATTTGAGTGAGGAAGATAAAGGACAGGACTGAAAAGCTCTACCACTAATCAGAAAGCAGACACAGTCATTTTATTGTTGAATTTCAATCAGCGCATACAGAAAATATCTCTTTCACACAAGTTTTAACATATTATCAGTGGTAAGTCAAATACTCTGAGTAATAAAAACAAAAAAAATAAGTTTTTTAAAAATAAAAAACTTATTTATAGCAGAGTTTTTTTTCTCAACTCCATCTCAACTGTCTGAAGAGTAAAAAGTCAAGTGAAAATAATTCAAAGCCATTTGTTTTTTAATAGTTAAGTGACTACTTTTAAGAGTTGAAAGTTAACATGTACAATAACTTTTTTCATTTCTTGAAATAAAATGGCCAGTCTAAAGTAGTTAGTAGTTAAATGCACGATCAGATAAAAATACTTTAAAATAACATGGTTTTAAAAAGTAAATTTAAAAAAATAAGTATTTTTGTTGTTCATGCTTTTTACAGAACTTTGAAACAACAGAAATGTTAAGAAAAAAAGCTAAAAACAAAACTTGGCTTACCTCCAATGAAGCCCACAGTGAGGTAAAGTTCTACTACACTGGTACTGAAAGAGGCCAAAACCATTCCCAAACAGCAGAGTAAACCTCCTACTATCACCACTGGCCGGCTGCCATATTTATTCACCAAAACACTGCTGATGGGACCTAAAGTAGAGAGAAGATAAAGAAATATTCAGTTAGGTGTCATTTATTGATACTTTAAAGTTGCTAATTTTGGAAAGTTGAAAAAGCATATTTTAATGATTCAAGGAAAAAATTAGTTCATATGGAATAAAATGAGGACTTTTCAAAACTTCACAAATAGATAGAGGTTTTGCGATAGAGGTCTCTATGTGGCCCAGGCTGTGTTCCAGTGACCCTCCTGCCTCAGCCTCTCAAGGAAAAAAACCTGCAGGCATTTGCTACCACTTTCAGCTGATGGGTTATTTATAACTCTATATAAGAAAGCACATGAAATAATGAATTAGAAGTGTTGATAATTTTTATGACCCTAACTATTCAACTTTTGTGGAAAAAATTTTAAATGAAACATAGCTTAGAAATCTAAATTGTCTTTTAAAATGCAGGTAAGTTTATATAATAAAAATCTAGGGATTATTAAAATGGCTTGTCTGTGTAAGAATCTTATAATAAAAGTTCAGTAGAGTAGAAAAAGGGAAATGAAGGGAAGGCATGGGGGATGGGAAAAGGAAAGACAGTGGAATGAATCTGACATAACTTTCCTAGGTACATGTGTGAACGTGAATCTCACCATCATGTATATCTACAAGTTATTTTAAAAAAGTAACTGGGTAAATGGCATAAGGCTCAATAAAGAGAAGAGCAGGAAATGGGGAGAGGGGAGGGGAAGGAGAGGTACTGGGTACTGAATTAGAACAGATACACTCCATACTTTTATAATTATGTCAAATGGATTTTACTGTCATGCATAACTAAAAAGAACTCATAAAATATTGTAGAATAAAAGAATAATGTGTGTATACAAACACATACATGCCATTAGTTAGAGCTCAGTTTTTTAATTATGTTCAACAATGATTTTTCTTTAATACCATATATCAGTGCTTCTAAAATACCAATTGTTTTCACATCATATTATCTTAGTAACAAGAATGGTTTATACTTGATGGTTTCTTCCAATCTCTGTTCATCAGTTAGCAGTCGGAGGCAGTAATGTAGCTATCATGGCCTATGCATGTTTGCATTTGGTTATTATCTCCTGTGACTTGAGAGAACTATGATTAATAGTTCAATTAATCATTTTAAGGAGCATTTGAAAAGGAATATATAAAAATAAACCATGAAGACATGAAATGTCTTCTGTTGACCCATTCTGGTAAGATAAAAGAAGTAGCAGCATCAAAAAAAAAAAAAAAAAGTCCAACATCTCTGGCAATTAGAGAAATGCAAATCAAAACTACACCAGTCAGAATTGCCACAATCAAGAATCCAAACAAAATTAACGTTGGCAAGGATGTGGGGGAAAAGGTATACTCATACATTGCTGGTGGGACTGCGAATTGGTATAACCACTCTGAAAAGCAGTATGGAAATTCTTCAGAAAACTTGGAGTGGAACCACCATTTGATTCAGTTATCCCACTCCTCCATATATACACATAGGACTTAAAATCAGCATACTACATTATTACTTCCACATTAATGCTTATAGCAGCTCACTTTATAATAGCAAGTCTATGGAATCTACCTAGATGGCCTTCAACAGATGAATGGATTAAGAAATTGTGGTATATATACACAATGGAATATTACTCAGCCATAAAAAAGAAATTATGGAATTTGCTGGTAAATGGATTGAACTGGACACTACCATGTTAAGTAAAATGAAACAAAGGCTGAATGTTTCCTTGGTATTCAGATGCTAACACACAATAAAGAGTTGGGGAGAATAGACGTTCATTTGATTAGACAAAGGAGAATAAAGGGAAGAGAGGGAGGATGGGAATAGGAAAGATAGTAGAATGAATCAGACTAACCTTTCTATGTTCATATATGAATACACAACCATATAACTCCATATCATGTTCAACTACAAGAATGGAATCCTAATTAGAATAAGTTATACTCCATGTATGTATAATATGTTGAAATACTCTCTAGTGTCATGTATACCTAAAAAGAACTAATTTTAAAAAAACGAAAGTAGCAGCATCAAAATTTACAGAATGGGTGTAGCAGTTCAAATGAAATTTCTAGAAAAATGGTGTATAGTTGCCTCACCAGCAAACAGAACAATCTTATGCATGAAACATAAACATTGAGAACTGACTCAGATACTAAATGAGAAAAAATTCTAAGAATGGCTTACCCAACTTATTTAACATATAATTAAAAAATATATGTCATGGGTGTATGTGTGCACAGGTATAAAATATTCAGAAACAATTAGTATCATTAAAATAATCTGTTTTAGTTAAGTCTACAAAAGCTCTTTTTGTGTTATAAAAGTTATAAATATTAAGAAAGTGTTGTGATTTACTTTGTGTACAGCATTTTTTTTGTCTTGGTGTATCATAAAACACCAGTACAACTTAACTGAGCTCATCTTCAAGTCAGTGAAAATTCATATTATTTTATAGGACCTGTCAATTGGTAAATGGTTTGCTTTGACATTTCCTTTTGAACTTAAAATTATACATCATCTGAAACTTGGGATACCACTTTAAAGAGAAAAAGACTACATTAGGTCCAAATACTCAGACTAAATTTGACCTAGAAAGATTAAAAAGGATTTTAGTGATACTATAAATTACAAATCTGCTAAGTACTGTTTCTCTGCATTTAAAATTTTCTGCATGGATAGTATTTAAGACACACAGAGATTCACTCATCAATATGTCCATATTCTTTCATCCTTATATAAATATTATTTTTATTCTTTAAATATAATTTTGAAATTAAACATCAGTGTCTAATGAGATTTAATATGTCACAATGACTAAGAATGATGCATAATTTTAGACAGAGATAACTCAAAAATAAATTACAAAATATTAAAATTTTTATAAAACCATATGAAATACAGATCTGTGATTACAAGTTGGAGGAAAATTGTTTTAAAAAGATGCACAAGTGAAAATAATAGAATTTTGTACCTAATGTCATAAAACTCCCCTGAAGAACTGACAAGAAGAAAAATTATACACATATATATTGTATGTAATATACCACTCTATGATTTAGGAAATGTGCATCTTCATTGAAAAGCATATCAATAAATTAAAATAACTTTCTGTGAGGAAGGAAGAGTCACAATAAATTGATTGGCTATAATTAATTATTAAACTTATGTGTGGCAGTTTCATGATATTCCACACCAATTCTTTTCTGAAAATTACTTAACTGATTCAATTCAATTCAACTTAACTGAAATCAATTCAGTGCATCATTTCTTAAGTTTCTAGTATAAAACCAGTTGAATCACATCAAGAAGAAAATAATAAACAAAACACAACTACAGTCTTCAATACATTGTTGTACAGAGGAGGAAATAATCAATGTGATATTAAGAACTATGATGGATGATACGATAAATACTAGATTCAGAATAAATTTAAAGTTATTTATTAATTATTTGGACTAGAACAATGTATTCTCAATATTATTTATGTTATGTACTTCATTTTCTATGTGGTAGCTGAATAATTAACAAACTGATGAATGGTATAATCAATTACAATATTGTATAAATGTATTGGTCTAAACTACATAGATTAAAATTTGAATGTAGTTATGAGTCATAAGTTAATTTGCAATGCATGATGAATAATTACATCTTTAGCTTGGGATAACCACACCAAGGCTTCTTCCTCATTACTATGATTAACTAAGGGTAGCCACTAAAGAAAATGTTTAACAGTGTTAATTCTTTTCCTTTCTTTTCTTTTGAGGAGTATGCTTCTATAACTTCTATAAGGGCTTCAGTAAAGTATGACTGCACATATGTTGCAACTCTACATTGCATATTACCAGAGAAATCAAAAGCTGTGTTCCACTTATGTACAATGAACCAAAATGCATTCTACTGTCATGTATAACTAATTAGGATAAATTTTTAAAAAGATCCAATGAGAGGTCTAATTTTAACAAATGCTTTTATTTTTAATTTTGTACTTTAGTTAAATAATGTCCTGTGAGGATGTATTTATACAAGTCATCTATACTCCTTTTCTAGCAAAATGAGATATGCTTTATAAGTGATCTAGTTAAACATAACCGAAGCTCTTTCCTCCTCAATATTTAATGCTAATAAATTGTCATAAAGTCTTTCTATTTGGTAATAGTTTTGAGGGCAATTTAAATTTATAATATAGAGTAAAAGTGGCTTTTTAAAAAAAAATTTCTAAATGTTTATTATTAGGAGTCATCCAACATTAAATGCAAAACACACCACCATCCAGCAGTTCTCTACATTCTAGTAGATGTTGAGTTTGTTATATTAATTAGAAAGACAAAGCTACAAGAAAAGAATGAATTCCCCAAAAAGGTGTGCAAGAGTACCAGGATAATAATCTTTTATTTCCAAGAACATTCATAAAAGTGTAGTAAGGCTGTGTCTAAGACTGATCTATCTAACCACTTATCCCCCCGATTCCCGATTTTTTTTTTTTTAGTACTAGGGATTGGACCCAGGGGTGATTTATCACTGAAATACATCCCCCCATTCTTTTTGCTTTTTAATTTTGAGACAGGGTTGCTGAGCATCTTGCCAAGTGGCTCAGGCTGGACTTGAACTTGAGATCCTTCTGCCTCAGCTTCTTGAGTAACTGGGATTATAGGCCTGTGCCACCAGACCCGGTTAGCCACTTATCCTTCTAATTCACACTTATACTTCTAATTCATTCTCAGAATTTTATTCTCAAGAATAACAGCCACTTTCATGAAACCGTAAAGAAGGACTTTGTCAGGGAGTGGCACGAGGATAACAATATTATTATCCAGACGACAACTAGGTCCTTGTCTTCTGAAAGATAAGCAACAATCTTTTACTACTGTAGCTTCATAGCACTTAAAAGAATGCTCATTTATCTCAGCAAGAAATATTTTGTGAGTTCTTTTAAATTATAAAACTGCCTATTTTCAACACTCTTGGTGCATTTACAGTTGGTAACACACACACACACA